TAATGTAACAATCTCCCACTACGGTCCCCAGAGCATTAAGTCATAAATTGGGTTTGCATTAAATTGTGCCTGCTGTATTGAATTCAGGGGAAGAGCTGTGGGCTAGAGATAAACCATGCTGGGCTATTCACCAACTTTGGCAAAGCTACGTTTTCTGAGGCCTATAGTAAATTTGTTAGAATATAGCAGGTCTACACACTCAAAAATGAGCACTTAATATCTTAATTTTAGAAATGTCGGTGTCACGCCATATCTGGCCTGTGCAGGTATCAATGCAGACAAAAATCCCCACGTGAAACAGAGCCATGTTGCCTATGGAAGGCTAAGGCCATTTCACTAAATATCCTGCTTAATGCCAGATGCAATTTTCTTAAAAACTCTCAACACAGAGTTTTTGATGAATTTTGTTTTGTTTTTAATGTTGTTTGTTTGAGTGACTGCTTTTGCAAAGGAAGGCAGAGAAAGGAGTAAGCCCTCTTTAGAGAATACGAGGGCTTTTAGAATATCCAAAGGAATGTTCTCTTTCATTCCATGTGAGGATTAGATCTTAACTGTTCTGGCTGATCAATAGAAAAATACAGAAGGCATCTTGAAAAGCAAGTGGATGTATTTTAATCACTTTTGTTTAAACGATTCAGGCTTTGAAAAATGCTGCACACTCCATAGCAGGTTTTCTCTGTTTGGTCTGTTTCCCAATCCCCAGCATGAGCGAGGCTGACGCAGATAAAAGGAGACTGTTCGGATTGCTGTATGGCACCCTTATGTTGGCTCTAGCTGCTGCCTTGGTGCAAATGGGCAGGCCCAATACAGAGAGCCGGCTGCCGGTTGTAAATCCTCAAGGTCATTTTCAGGTGCACAACTCAATGCATGTTCTCTTTCTCTGACTTCCTAAGACTGTTATGAGAATTAAAGAAAATTGATGTAAGGTGCCTAGGTGCCTCAAAATGCTAGTCTCCTCGCTCTCACTTCATCACCGAGTGGAAGCCATGTAGCGACATTTTCACCGCCACCAGCTTCGCTGTTCCCCCAGCACAGTCAACCTCTCCTGCTCTGTGGTGTGCAGAACTTCTGGGTTCTGCAGTGAACTATTCTAGACCTCCCTGTTTGGGGAAGTCCAGGCATCCTCTTCAGTTTCCCCCCTCCCATTCCTTGCTTCTGGGCTTTCTCTCTCCCCCTCCCAGACCTCGCAGCTGCCTTGGCCTCCAGGCGAAGGGTTTCTCCATCACACTTAATAGCAGACAGTCTGTTTCCAACGGCATTGTCTATTTTTAAAAGCGTATTTGAAAGTCTAAATGGCTCCCATTTTGGTTTTAGTGAGACAAATATGGGCTAAAACGCTCAGTGCCCCTTAAGTGTGATGGATACCCAGGACCTGCTGAAGTTTCCCGTAGCCAAAGTCTGCCTCGTCCTCGTGGCAATTTTTCTGCCACGTTATTTATGTGGTGGTTTTACTTCTAATTATGGCTCATGATGGCTGTTAGTGCTGAGCAGCGAGAGAGCAAACTGCATTGTACTGCCACTTAACTCCAGCCTATAAAACGGGTGATAAAGCTGAGGGCTTCAAACCAAAACCAAAGCCCAAATCCTGTAACTTTTCGGTGACAAGCTTACATCCGAGGCTGGAAACTTCCACAGAGGAAGCACATGGAGGCAGGTGACTTCTGAGGCCCAGAGCCTCCGTTTCAGCTCCGGTTCCAACCTTAAGGAATCCTTTATTGTAGGCAAAACAACCCCAGACCCCAGAGGAAATTAACACGTGCCGGGTTTAATCAGAACCCTGGACTTGATTGTTTGGAAACAAATGAAGGCAAATAGATGTTACTTAGCACTGGAAATAATGAAAGATCTTTTGTTGTTCTCAATTCGGATGACTATTTTTTGATGCTCAGATGAACGTCACTCGGTGAGTGCGTAAACAAAAAAGACGAATGGCCAGGATGAGAATGAGTTGTCCGTAATCTGATTGAAGCGACAGAGCTGGCTCCTAGGGGAACCGCAAGGGGCTTAACGATTGGGTTGTTGTTCTTAATACATCTAATGTTCACCCTTAAAGAAATCAAGAAAAATGGTAAGAGGTTACTGATATTTCACTGTGGCATTGGGCTGCTGGAGCTTCTGACAGGAAAAGAATGTTTTCCTCAGGCAGGTGGCTCAATTGGTTGGAACATTATCCTGTGCACCAAAAAAACTGTGGGTTCGATTCCTGATCAGGGCACATACTAGCTAGGTTTCCCATTCCATCCCAGTTGGGGCATGTACAGGAGGCAGCCAATTGATATCTCTCTCTCTCTCTCTCTCTCTCTCTCTCTCTCTCTCTCTCTCTCTCATCAATAAACATATCCTAGGTGAGGATTTTAAAAAAAGAATTACATAAAAAGAACATTCTCTGTGGCTGGAACACAATGTCCAGTCACGTACGTTAATTTGCCCAGATGATATTGGAGGGCATTTAGGCATTTAAAACCTAAATCTGCCCCGGTCCAGTCACTTGGTTGCCAGAACCAGCAGGGACAAGGCAAGGGCACACTTGATTTTGTTGAAGTGATGAGATTAAATAGCTGAGAAATGCCACGTGCCTTCTGTTTTCTTAGTTCCTTTTCTTCCTTGGCAGAACATTTCTGGGTTTAAGTAAAGTATCTGCTAGTGTTCGGATAATAAATACATTATCTTAAAGCCTGTGGCTACTCTAGCCTGTTGGGATATTAGGGGGAAAACTTACCCTCACTGTTGAGTTCTACAGGGCTCATGTTAGATGAATGTAATGATTTCCCCCTCCTTTTTTTTAGTGTGAGTTTCATGGTCCTGTGTGTGAGTGCACAAGTATGTATGTGTGTGCGTACATTCATGCATACCATCACTCATAAGGGAGTGGTCCTGCGAATTCGAGTCTGTCTATCAGAGGTCTAACTATCAGGCATTGCCTCCAGGATACCATCATCATGGAGCTTGCTGGTCTCCTAATAAATTTTAGGGCTACCCCAATGATATTCAGCCATTAAGATTTTGTTGCCCAATGATTCTCTCTCATCTCTCTCTTCCTTCCTCTCTGAAATAATAAAAAATATATACATATATATTTTAAAAGATAACAACCTTTAAAAAAAAAGAGAGAGAGAGAGATTTGTTGCCTTTGAAACTTCAAGTTGGACAATTGAATTCCAGATGAACAGGAATTGGGTTATTCTGCTTATTTTAAACCAAATGATTTTAAATACTCCAATTCAAATCCATCAAATATATACAGGGGTGAGGAAAAGTAGGTTAATAATAATGGTACATAACACAAAAATTAGTAAATAATAATAATACAAGAATAACTTTTGCATACTGTCAACTGTAAACCTACTTTTGCCCCACCCTATATATATTGGGAATCCTTTGTTCTAGTGTCCCATTTTACGGGTGAGAGAGCTGAGGTTCAGAGAGGTTAATTACTTCCCCCAGACCACGAGCTGAGTGGTTAGTCTACTGACTACTTAGTCCCAACTTTGAACAAAATCCATCTGATTCTCAGGTCGATGCTTCTACCACCCCGTGTCTCAATCAATAGTCAGGCCTTCATGTTGCAACAGATATTAAATATCTCTGTCTGGCCTCTTTTTTTGACAATCTCTGAATCTGGTAGAAACGGGTGATTGACCTTCTCCCTCTCAAGGGGAAGCAGCAACTGATGTGGTTTCAAAGTTCTCCCCAGTTCCCTGGTGTGTCTGCCTCCTCTTTCTTTTGTAGACCAGCCTTTGGCTTCAACCACTTCCTCAGCCCAACAGACTGAGGTTGGATTCCCAGGGACATCGGAAGGACAATGGAGTGGAAAGGAATTGAGAGAGGAGAGAGAGAGAGAGAGAGAGAGAGAGAGAGAGAGAGAGAGAGAGAGAGAGAGGGCTGATCCTACCTGTGTTTTCCAAGCGTTTCCCTTCTCCTCTTGGCGCAATTTAAAGCCATGTTGTCATACATTGGCACCCCCATCTAAGGGCAGGGAGAGGAAATGAAAGGAGATGAAACAAAACCACAGCTGCGATGTTTATTAGGCCTCTGGTTAAAAAAATAAATGATGGAGAATGAGACTGGAATGAATCTGCTTTCTCTTAGAAAATGCTGCCAGTAATTTTAGTGGCAGTAATTTTACTGAATATATTGGCTAAATTATTTGAATATAATGAGCTATGCAATGTGGTGGAGTGGAGAGAGCCCAAGGCTAATTGACACGATCCAAGTGACCTTGGACAAGTTACATCATCTTTCTTGGCCTCAGTTTCCTTTTCTGCACCGGCTGACATCAAGTCAGACGATCCATGAGACTTCCTAGGAAAGCGGCGAGAAGCAGGACAATCACCTGCTCTGGAGTCAGCTGACTGGTGGGAATCTTAGCTCTGTCACTCAGTTGCTGCAGGAGCTGTGTGACCTGGGATCAGTCACTTGACTTCTCTGAGGCTCAGTGTCTACCTCTGTGAAAAGGGGATGAGATGTCTATTCCAGGGGGTCATGAAGAGATTTAGATTGGTTAAAGCACAGACAACTTCCGGAGAAGGCATTTCCCCAGGGGCGGAAAGGAGAAGTGGGGAATGGGTGGCTTTGAAGGTCAGTGAGGGAGGGTGACTGGCCCATGAAGAAGTCCAGGCTGGAAGAAGCCTGTCTGGGGGTGGGGATGGGACTCTGAGCGACCCTGGCCAGGGGAGGAGAAAGAGAAATAGCTATAATAGTGGGACAGAAAACCCAATGCCTAGATGACAGTCTTTGTTGAGAACATTGCCTTAGGGGGGAAGAAGAAATCTCAGAACACCTTGGCTCCTTGCTATTGCTGTTCATTTCTTAACTTTTTATTTTTAATGAAGGTGGGAAGGCTTCACCACACAAAGGTATTATGATATTATTGAGTATATTCCCTGTGCTGTACATTACATCCCTGTGACTTATTTATTTTATAACGAGAAGTTTGTAACTCTTATTCCTCTTCATCATTTTCACTCCCCCCCCCACACCCCTCACCTCTGGCAACCATCAAAAATGGGGAATGGTTCACAAATTAGTATATCATCCTTGTGCAGCTGCCATGCTAATCTTCTCTGCTTTTGTTTCAGTTTTGTATATGTGCTGCCAAAGCAAGCATTCTACAAAATTCTTAAAAATTCAAATCTTTTCCCAAAACAAATCTGAATCTTTTTTATAAGTAAGTACAATAAAAAACCAAAACATAGAGGAAGAAAGTAGAACTCAATTACTAAAAAGGAGTGAAAGCATTAGATGTTACTAGACAGCTGAGATGAGATCGTTTGAACAGCTAAGCATGGCTTGAGCTAAGGCAAAAAGGGAAATTGGGGTGGGGGGGGGCACAGTTCATATTATCTGACAAGGTGAAGCACACCCATCTTTTTTTGCTGGGCCACTGCTTCTGGAACAAACTCAAAGAGACATTTATTACCTGGGTTCTTATATAAGTGCATGGTGGCTGGCCAGTTGAACAAGGTCTTCAAATAGAGTCTTGCAAAAAGACAAGGAAAGTGAGGTGGGCCCCACTGGTTTGGCTCAGTGGATAGAGCGTCGGCCTGCGGACCGAAGGGTCCTGAGTTTGATTCCAGTCAAGGGCACATGCCCAGGTTGTGGTCTCAATCCCCAGTAGGGGGCGTGCAGGAGGCAGCTGATCAATGATTCTCTCTCAGCATTGATGTTTCTATCTCTCTCTCTCTCTCTTCCTCTCTGAAATCAATAAAAATATATTAAAAAAAAAGAAAGTGAGGCAGATGCTGCCCCTTTCCAAAAGGATGGGAGAATTCAGGTTACAGAGGCAGACCCAGTATTTGGTTACCAGGTTGGACTTAACACCATCTTTCAAAAATAATCATTTTAAAAGTATTTTTTCTTATATCAAAAGTAATACATGCTCATTGTAGGAAATTTGTAAAATGCAGATTTTTGAAAGAAGAGAAATCGATAACATCACTCAGTTAGCCCTATTAACAGTGTCATTTCATCATTTTGTCTCTGCATAGACATGTATGTCTATTTTAAAAAGACAAGGTGCTACTATGCATCATGTTTTGTTAAGCATTTTTTATTTAATTATATACCATGGGCATTTCCCATCTTTACAATATCATTTTGAATACTTATAACATTGTGCTGATATTAATACTATGGAATACATTGGGAAGATTTATTACAATGTATTTAGCAAATCCTCCAGGTTTGGGTTTCTAACATTTCACCTTTATGCATAATTCTGGTCTAGTCCATTCAAGGCCAGGTTGCCCCAGAGGTCAATTAATTATTTGCCCAATAACTCATGGGCATAATTTGTACTTCTTGCTCTTGGCCAGGCAGGAAGGAGGAAGTAGTGCTGGGAACCCACAGTCTTGATTTAAAGACCATTTCCTGGGCTGCTTAGTGCAGGCAGTAGGAATTCAGACTTGTAGCCTTAGGGTAGGGAGGAAGCAGATAAGACAGAGTATGGGGATCACTGCAGAGGCAGACCGAAGGGGTTCAAGCAATGGATTAAAGTAAAGCCCTGATGTGCCCTGAGGGGCTGGGCTCTAACTTCTCTGGATGTGCTTCTCTACCTGAGGGCCTGCCTCAGGTCAGGAGCCGAGTGGAACTGCACCTGCATCCAGTTGAATACTCTTCCATCAAGTTCTCCCAGTGAGAACACTCCCCAGTGAACTTCAGGTAGATGAGAATCTATGTTTGAACACCTATAAGGAGGGTTTTTCAGGATAATGTGGTATAGCACACAACTGCAAGGTGCCCAGCCGTGTTGTATGCAAACATGTCTCTTGCATTCGCACGTGCGCAACAACTTCACTCTGAGTACACATAGGTAGACTTACGTATGTAATCATTGCGAATCTGAACTTATTGTAACCCGATTCCCAGCACTGTTCTTTTCCCCTAAGTGGTTCTTTCTTTGTCTAGATTGTACTTCAACCCCAAAGGACACACTTTGGAGAAAATACTCCATTATGGACGTTGTTGGAGCAACTTTTATTATTCATTAGTGTGCTTTAAAGTGGACCTAAATAGAAATGCTTTTGCTAAAAATAAAAATACATCCGTTTTTAGGATCTAATTGGACAATTGGTTAGAATTTTTATCTATCAGTTCAGAGCAAAACTTGGTTTCAGCGAATTTGTTTTTAATAAAAGTGTGTTATCTATGATAAATATATTTCACTTTGTTCAAATGGATCTGATTGGGAAAACATATTGAGCAGAAGTACCGGCACAGCTTAATTTCATTGCTTTGAGAAAATGTATTGAATGCTGGTTTGAATTAAATTCTATTTGTTTTAATAAAAGTGTATTGGCCTGAGTGTACATATATTTGTTTTAGTGGCAGTGCATTGGATCCAATAAAACTATATTGGCTTCACTGCTTATGTCTCCTTTTCAGTGAAAATGGATTGAATGGGAAAACGAAACAGTCATGAAGCAGCCAGCCCCAAGGTCTCTGCTTGGCGAGAGTATCCAAATAACAGAGGGAGTGTGTTTCTACAGACTTTATATCAAAATATACTTTCACATTAAATACTTGACTATCAAGAACTCAGATGTGAGACTGAATTGCCACCATAAAGAGTGCAATTTTCTGAAGCGGCCCTTTCCATGGACAAATTATGGGCTGTCCAGGACACCAGAGGAAGAAATGCTATGAAAGCCAAGAGCCACTTTGTCAACATCCCTTAAGCTTTATATAGGCTTCATTGGTCCCAATAAGATACTGTCTATCAGGCATTCCTAAATCCCTCAAATGAGCGGAAAACAGATTGTGAGCACTCCCTAAGGGTGGTGTTGGCACATCAGCACTGAAATGGGTTTGACTTTGAACTGATTAAAAAGGGGAAGAATTGAAACAAGTGTTACCCTGAGACACACATCAGAATTACCAGGCGTCTCATGGCTTATAGACCCTCAGGGAGGAGAAAGCTCTCCAGAGGGAGTTGGCACTGGTGCTGCGATCTAGGAAATGACACCTCTGCAGAGTGCCATGGCCACACTGTGTGGCTGTATATGGCTCCCCGATGCCCAGGCCTACAGGTAGTCCTTTGCATAGGTGCTCTGACCCAAAAGCTCGAGTTCTAATAGTGAGGATTAATAATAATATTGGCTGTTATTCCTATGCGTCTGTCTCACTGTTAGGAGAGTATATGCTCTGAATTGTTTTTCCTCCCAGAAGATGAACTTGACCTAACTCTTACACCTAGTTTCATTTAGCCTTGATGAGGAATAAATGCAAATACTACTTTCATTAACACCTTTGCTCCAACTAAATGTGCCAACAAGCTCTAGGCTTCAACTTTCCCACTAATAACCGCTAATTCTTAACTAGTCCCATTACCAAGAAACCCTAAACCCTTGGTGTATAGTTGATCATTAAAAAAAATATCTTTATTGATTTCAGAGAGGAAAGAAGAGGGAGAGAGAAAGAAACATCAATAATGAGAGAGAATCATTGATCGGCTGCCTCCTGCACACATACTGGGGATTGAACCCAAAGCCCTCTTGGTTAGGATGACGCTCAGCCACTGGGCCACATTGACTGGGCATATAGTCGCTCATTTTTGGAATGCCTGAATGCTCATATGACCCTACAAGGTTAAGAGAGAAAAAGTGATTCATGGATTTTTTTTTTTTTCCTCTCTGAAAGTATTCCCAATTATATACTGGAAGTCAAGAATAAAATGGGATTTGTGCTAAAGAAATTTGCTGTGCTCTCCTCAGAGAGGGGATGTTGTCAGAGTAGTATTGATCCACCACATTGTAGAAGTATGATGTGGGACTGAATGTACCAATTTCAGAAAGGAAACAGCATTGTGCAACTTAATTCACTGCCCCAATAATGGAGTTTTCAAAAGGAAATCCTAGGATATTTCCAGAATCAAACAGCATCAATGCAGAAGTGTATACCACGTGGGGAAGGAGCATTGCTGGGTCTGAGGATAGAGAGACCAAGCATTACTGGGAACTGGACAATCTCATGTATAGATCTGCAGGGTGTCCCTGACCACAGGCTTAAAAAAAGCACATCAATGGGGAGACCAATTAGAACAGGCTTTCTCTCTGGAGAGGCCAATGAGAAGAAGGCACTCTGAAATTATCTGGGAGATGATTTCAGGAAACCTCAGAAGGTGAGTGGGGAAGTGAGACAAGGAAAGGAGACAGCTAACAAAGGGCTTATTATTAAGCAAGTCATGTTGTGGTTAACTGGAGATTGATGTTGCTGTAGAAGTCTGGGAGTGGATGTAGAACTTGTGTTTAGAGTTGTTCCACTCAAGGGGCCAGGGCACTGAGGTATTTATATACCAGTACCAACGTATACACCAGCCCCATCCTCATTGGTTGAGAGCTCCTCTCCCAGAGTATTAATTCTCTGGTGAATCCATCCTGCCAGGTGAGCAGGCACAGTGGGCTCTGACCACCAGACAAAGCTTTAAGGCAAAGAATGCAGTTGGAAGAGGTAAGGTTCAAGGTAAGGGCAGAGCATTGACAAGATCTGCTGTCCCCATGAAGCCCATTTTACAGATGAGTAAACTGAGATAATAGAGGTATGAAATTTTCCTGGTGACACACAGCTAATAAGCATCGTGGGCAAAATACAAATCTAGCCTCTGTTTCACTTAAAAGTCAATGACTTAACTTAGCCACACAGGCTTGGCCATGTTGTCCAGCTGAAGAAGTTGGCATGTCTCCAAAATGTAAAAACCATGTTTTGATGGGGTTTATGCTGCCTTAGGCTGGGGGGGTGGGGGGGGGGGGGAGGTAAATATTGCAGGTAGGAGAGGAGGCCTAGAAGTGCTATATTACCTGAGCTTCTGTCTCTAGGAGTGGCCAGTTAGTGATCAATTTTAGACTGAATTGAATCTTAGTATCTAGGTGTTTATTAGATGCTAAACTCAACGTGTCCGAGGGTATATCTTTGCCTAATAGTCAATTGCAAATAACCATATGGTCATGTGCTCTGGGTCATTTTCAGTGAGCCCCGACTCCTAGCTATCTCCCAATCCCACCTGCCCCGTTTTGTTCCTCTGTCATGTCCATCCTTTTGCGATCAGCTTGTCCATTTCAGGCGTGCTTGCTAGCCGCTAGCTGCTTTGTAAAGTAAGTTCTGATGAC